CTGCTGCCTATGTGTTGGCAACATATGTTAAATATTAGATATATGGTTGGTTTATTTTTAAAATTCTGACAGTTTTTTGTTTAAGCTCTGTTTAAACATGATGTATTAATAAACAATGATCTCTGTTCACAATAAACTCCTGTAAAATTCAGGAAGACTTATGTATGTAAGGTGTATAAAGGTATAAATTTGGGGTTCTTTGACTCTACCTCTAGAATTTTAGGAGGTACAGAAACAGTTATGGATTCCATATTCTGTTTTGTCTTTAGTATTAAGATTACTGAAATGAGGCTCTAAATTAGGGTGTATCATTACTCTGTGATGTCCACGATTTGCTTGCATCACGCCAGCAGTCATGGTTTTGAGATTTTCTTTCACAGCTTTCATCATGTATTTCCTCACCAAATATCACAAATTGTGATTTGGAGACAGGAAAATGTTTACAAGTAGGATAAAGTTTTGTAACAGGAAAAACTAACAGGAATACTCTGTGGTTCAGTGTCATAAAATCTTTTATGTAACAAATGCTTGGACCCAGTAGAATGATAGACTGTCATCTCTTCAAAAAAAAAACTGAAGGAAGTGATAACTTCTTTGCAATAAATTATTTACATCAGAGATTATTTTAAAAAGCTTTCTTTGTGACTTTTCACATTAACTGTATGTGAATAGACAATCAGATGTTACAAATTCTCCAGCAAGAAAACCCAGATCTCTGGCAAAAAGACATTTAAATGCTGTAGAGTCTATTTACAGGTGGAATACAATGCATGCAATGAACATGACTTGGGACCATAAAGGAAAGGTATTTTCTAAAACTTTAATAAATCCACTGCTTGTAAAATACTGAAGTGTGATAAGTTATTAAGGAGTAGAATAGTTACTTACTATTTTCTGAAGAGAAAGAGGTTCCATAGCAATAGTTATATTCCTCTGTAAACATAATTTTTTAAAAACTGCTTCTGCAACAAACATTTGAAGCCAGGGGGATGATATGGAACAAATAAACTTTTTTAATTCACATATCAAAAAATCTGGATAAAAGCAAAGGGGGGGGAAAAAAGCCTTAAAATGAGAATATATAAAAACCTTTACATCTAGAGTTATCCAGAAGATAACCCTTTCAGACTTTTTTTTTCCCCTGCTCTTGCAGATTCAGAAGCTATTCTTTACGAGAATTACTAAAAAACCACACATTAGAAAAGACGTTATCCATTGTCTAATAAGAAGAGTGACTTCTAAGAGAATAGTCAACAGATTTTAAAGAGCAAAGCACCACTTTTTATGTGAAACTTTAAAAAAAATGCTTTAAATACAACTTTATAAAAGTTAGATCTTGCTCTTGAAAAAGAAGTTATTTATGTGCAAATGCTCACCACCACGCCCTGCCATGCCCAAAAAAACCCACAACCCAGACAGTGAAAGAAGAATATGTATCTACCCTAATATGTATCAGGCTTGTCTGGTCTACTTCTCATTTTTTTTGAAAAGGAGACAGAATGACTCATTTTTCTTAGGGTATTTGTATTTTGATTATAACAAAATAATTTTGGCAAAATAGCAACGGAAACAGGGTTGAAAGCAAGGTCACTACAATTTCTACTTTAAGAGCAACAGATTTTAGGAGAATTCTGCAACAGTTTTTTGGGCTTTAAATGCCGTGGACTGAACCAAGCAGCAGTGATCACCAATACGTCAAAGAATCTTTATAATCAGACTATAAAGACTGTTTCTTTTGAATGCTGTCAATGTAAGGAGTGCATAGAAAGCATAATTTTCCATTTGCGTACAGGAAAGTAAGAAAGTCTTGCAGAAATACATATCCAAGATTTTCTCTCTCATTCTTTTATATGAAATCTGTTGGAGAGGTGGCAATAGTAGTAGATATTAAAAGCCCTGTTGACAAATACTTATGAAGTTCCAACTGATTCAGCCTTCTAAGATCTTCTAGGCTATAGCAGTTCTGATAATTTGCTTTTTATAAGACTAGGTGGAATTACTGGTCTAGAGGCTAGAATTTTAGTTTAATTCTTTTCAGGATAGTTCTTCTAAAGCATACAGGTAAGAAATCACTAACACTTTAAATTAATCCTACATACACTTATCACTGGAAAAAATGATGAAGGATACCAGGACATCCATACAGGTTTAACTGAGGATTTACAGTTTTCCCACACTTTCCTAACCTGGGCGGGGATGGGACACACAGAGATCTTTGGTGGGAATTAAGTAAAAATGAAATTAAAAAACACGCAGTAGTTTTCTTGAGATTAGGGTTTTTTTCGCTCTTTTCAGTTCCTCAACCCCTAGTTGCTAAAGGGACTCACGGACCTCAACCAACATTCCATGTCAAATGATAACGGTTCATTTGAGTTGTGACATTTATATAGTATATTTAATGAAGAGGAATAATAGTGATTCATGGGATTAGTTGGATTTTTTCCCCACCCCCCAAATAAAGCCCATTAAGCTCGAAGATTTGGACTGTGACACTGAAATGTTTCATTTGAAGTCTGTACGGGTCAGAAAGTTCAGCATAGCTTTTAGACTTATAGCTGAAGTGCCTTTAGCAAACAAGATCAAGTTTGTGGAGTGAAAAATTTCACCTGAGAATTGGCCTGAGTTTAGGTGTCTCCAATTGCCTCCCTGAAGTTATGATTTAGTATGATATGCTTAAAGCTCTTCCTCCTCTGACAAGAGAGCTCCAAAGACTTTCTTCTTCACACCGCAGTCTTGCTTTTTCATTAACACTACTGAGATTAGAGGGATTTTAATAAGAAAGCCTGTTCTGTTTGGTCTTTGCTGGGGGCAGGCAGACACATACACAGGCTAAAAAAGTTACCTGTGTATGTACACAACATACCATAAGGCTGCACAGCTGCAACAGAAGGTAAAATATAACTTGAGAGTAAACCAAGTATTTTAGATAGGACTAGAATATCAGATTAAAAGACCTTGAGAGGCCTTTCAAACACTCACCATCAAATGACATGGCAAGGTACTGTGCCAAATCATCAGCTACTTGATGAAATATATTTCTGTCCATAAGCAAACCTGAGATGATCCAATATTCCACTACAGTTCCAAGAATTGCATTTAACAGACCAGCTATTTGACATCTGAAAGCCTAAATGAAAAAAAGAAAAAAAAAAAACACAAAAAAGAGTATCTATAGGCCAGTACTGTATAACAAATTCACAGTGATAAAGCACTAGTATTAACACCAGAAAACTTATTTAGATAAAAGCCCACTCTCTTGCTGCTTCACTTCTTCACTGGCTTTTCTTTTTCTGCTCAAAAGCTAACTGTTGCAACCCCAGCTCAACAGAATTAATATGCCATTGATGTCACATCAATTAAGACTTGGCATTGGAGAAATACAAACTATTTGAAAACATCCTGTCTCAAACATGGAAAATGGGACGAAAGCTTACAAATAGAAAGTGTGATTTTTTTAAAATTTGGTTTAACTGTAAGATTTCAAGTATTGCATTTATGTTAGCTAACCTTGTGTCTAATTTGACAGTTACAGGGATCTTAACTCTGGCAGACAGTCTGTAAGATCAGGAACCTTTCTTCTGCTACCCAAAATTCCAGAGACTAGCAGTTGCTAGTTTAAAAAGCACATATTTACGGCTAGTAGCCGTACCTTTTTCTCCCCTGAACCTGCATGAAATGGTCACGTATAGATTAAAAAGCCAACGTGTATTTTCTTTAGGAGGCATCAAGACAATATACAGCACTTTAACATGCTAGCCAGAAAGTACCATGAGATAGACAAACATACTTGTTCACCCCCATGAGCACTTCATCAGTATTGGCTGGGCAAAGCAGTGCTTCTATTGTCTGAGTTAGTCTATGCAAAGCCAAGTCAGATCTGTGTACTCAACACCTTTCTATGCCATGTAGAAATATTTTATGCAAGGATTCTGAGATAAGTTATTACTCTGACCACATGTACAGCCACAGAAAATTCAGTATCTGTATGTCAGTTTTGAAAGTGCAAATTGGAAGAATACATGCACCAGAGCAGGAACACATGAAATTCATTTGCCCAAAGACACCTACCTAAGGCTCCAGCAGAGAATCACTACTGTTACACTAGAGCACTGGCCAATGTATTGCATTCTAGTGAAAGAGAACGAGTACTTCAAAATGGACAATTTTCAATGACAGGGAAATTGAACGGAATATATCCTTAATTATTTTGCAGCTTTAGATTTTATAGAATTATGAAAGGAAAGAAAACTTTTCTGTCTTCTGTCATGGTCTCACACCACAGTCAATGGTTTGTCTGATATTCCTTTGAAAACAAAATAAACTCAATATATTATTTTAAAATAATTTCATAGGATTCCCTCAGGAGTTGGAAAGCACCAAAGTCTGAAAGAGTTTGGGCTTCATCAATAAATCAGACAGACATACCTAAGAGCAACAGAGACTGTGACACAGATGAGATTTATAATCACGAAGTAATTTGTCGAAACCTAGATAAATACTGTCCCTACAGTTAACAGACTTACTGGTCATTCAGAAGAGAAGGAATAAATACAACTACAAATAAACATCGTGTAGGAAGGCAGCATAATCTCCATCACTGAAAGCTTTTAAGAACTGGCCAGGCAAAATCTGTTTGGAATGTGATCTCTGAGATCGCTTCCAGCCTTAAATTCCTCTTACTCTGTTAAGCACTACTTGATTTGCTTTGCACCTTGCTTTACAGTATCATAATATTTTATGTAGATTAACTGTGGACTCTCACAATTAAATAACACTGAGAACATTGATATGGCATGTCAACAACATAAAAATATTTTTTTTCAAATAAAGTTTAAATATTTTTAAAGCTATCTTACTCCCTATCTTCTGAAGACCCAGAAATAAAGTGAAAAACTAATTTAAAGCATCTGAAATTCATTTAAATTTCCCTTAAGTACACAAACCTCTTATCATCGGACCCCAAAGCAAAATACTGGGTGAATAATTTAATTCCATCAATAGTTCTTTGCAGCAAGTAAGTTACACAAATGCAGCTATGAAGCACAATTTTAAGAGAGGTTAAGTGAAAGGATGAAGGACATATAGAGGCAATCCGAGGTAGATACAGATAGAAAGCGCAAGTATTTACAATCTTTTTCTTGTTTCTAAACCACAAGCTTGTATTACATCACCTATGAAATGTTTTCAAGGAGAGCAGTGGGGAGCAAGAGCTAACCTTGAGGCAGCAGATTGAAATAATGACTATTAATACTGCAAGTATCAGTGTTTCGCAGTCAGACATATAGCTGCATATTGAATGTGGCTGATAACACTAGTTGCAACTATGCTTGCTCAGCTAGGCATCTCTGAACACTGACAAAAACCAGACACTGCCAGCTGGTGTAGGCTTGGTTGACATTTTGGTAAAACAAACCAAAAGCTTCTCCTTAGTATTTGGAAATAAATGCTTCAGTACTACAACTGATGGGGAAGCGCTCCGATTTTCTGATAGTAACATCAGTTCTGAAAATATTTAAATATCAACATCTTAGAAATCCTTTCAATTTTCAACCACAAAACAACACAAACATAGTAATGAAAACACATGCAGCATTAAAAAGGAAAAAGAAGCAAGCATTTCCATTAAAGATGGGAATTGCTACAATGTATGACACTGACAACATCCTTTCTGTCTCTCACTCTGCCCTGCAGCAAGTGGGCTGGGTGCATGCAAGAGGCTGGGAGGGGGCACAGCCAGCACAGCTGACCCAGAATGACCAAAGGGATATTCCATGACATATAAATGTTGTGGTCAGCAATAACGGCTGGGTAAAAGAAGAGGAAAACGGGGGATGTTCGTGGTTAGGGCATCTACCTTGCCAAGTCACCAATACGCATGATGGAGGCTTTTCTGGAGACCCCCTGCCTGCTGATGGGAAGCAATGAATGAAATCCTTGTTTTGCTTTGCTTGTGCATGCAGCTTTGCTTCACTTACTAAATTCTCTTTATCTCAACCCATGAGTTTTCTAGTTTTTGCCCTTCTGATTCTCTCTGTCGTCCTACTGTGGGGTGGGTAAGAGAGCGGCTGGGTGGGGACTTACCTGCCAGCTGGGGTCAACACACTACGCCATACACAGCAAATTAAGTAAGACCCAGTGAAACCTTTTTTCAAAACTCTCTTCCTTGTTCTTATTGTCGAGAATCAAAGCTATCTCACCGAGAAAAGCATTGAAGTGGGAAGAGGCTGTTGACTGTGTTAGCATACAAAGGTCACATCAGTACAACTGAAGTCTGCCAGCTTAGCAAATGCAATTCCTACATTGCTGTTCCATTTAATGCTTTGCCAAGTCAAGTCCAGTGCTACAGTGACAGAAGTTTCACAGTGTGTTTTAGTACACATAAAGGTTCTTAGAGGAAAGCTTTTAAATCATAGGAAAATTCACCTTAACTTTTTCAGTTTGTTACAGACTTATTTAGAGCTGTTCTTTAGAGTTTTTTCATGTAGTGTAAATGTTTTTAGTGTTATGCAGTACTCCAAAACTCCCTAAAAGATACTTCCAAGAATGCTATTGAGGGTGACAGACCAGAAAGACATTTAATTCTACAAATTCACACCACAGAAATTTATACCAGGTAATGATACATGAAACAGAAAAAAACAGAAGTATGCAACATGATGCAGCTAAAAATTTAAAGGAATGCCTTTTTCACTCCTTTGTCAGGTTATGCAAGAGAGCTTTTAGAAAAACACCAGTAGTATCAGGGATGAAAAACATTTCTCATACCATTTGTGACATCATGAAAAGCCATGCAACAGCTTGATGCTACTCAGGGTTATAAGCAATATACACGATATTTGAGGAACCCCAAACAGGAGTTCCTGAAAACTTCTTTAAATAATATAATAAATAATGCTATTTATATTGAAATTACATTCGATACTGATTTGAAGATCTCAAGTTACGGAAGTGCATTTTGGCAGCGCTTTTTTAACTACAAGGATAGTGTACTAGTTTTATTTATTTTTATAGAGAGCAGCTCGGAGAAGAAGGACTTGGGG